AGTGGGGGGGACGGCTGCGATGCTGCGTAGGGGGTTGCCACTTTCGTCTGTGGGGACACAGGAGGTGTGACCAACGCTAAGGGCCGACCTGCAGGCTCCATTCGGGCCTGTTGGGAAGGGAATTGTAGTGAAAGTGGAAAGGGAGAAAGAGAGAGAGAGAGAGGGAGAGAGGGAGGGAGGGAGACAAAGAGATTATAAAGTCAAGGTTTAAATGTGCCTGTCATTCAAAATTAAGTGGCAGATTACAGCATGCAGGAAGCATTAGCACGACAATGCAGCAAGAGACAGTTCTGTACACTGACAAGCCTGGACCAGGCAGGCAGGGAGGGAGGGGAGCTGGCCAGTCAGGGCAGCCAGGCCTACTCCAAGCTAGGTTCACTGTCAGGGACAAAACACACCAGCCTTGTCACTTCTGTGGGGCAGGCAGCTGTGCCCAGTGAAGACTGCTGTCCTCCTCTGGGACAGTGCAGTGGCCCAAGCAGAGCTCGCCCCAGAGGGCCACAGGCCACGGCAGAGGATGTCAGGCAGAGCAACAGACTCCGCAGACGTCTCCTCAGCTCCTGAAGACCAGAGTTCAACCACACGTGGCCTCCCAGAGCGCCTGTCGAGCCTTTTCGTTGGCTAGCTGAGGCCTTACGCTGTTCGGTGTTCAAAACACAGATACCCCGAACTGCACTAAAGCACGTGAAGAGCAAGCTCTGCGCAGGAATACTACTGGGATCCTTCCGCTCCACATGCTCTGATATCCAAGACTGGCAAGGAGAAAAATGAGGAAAAAGAGGGAAAATTGAGATTTCCTAGGAAAAGTTACCCAGAAGGAAATGTTTAGAGATCTGCCAAAGAAAGTTAGTTTTGGGAAGAAAAGCTATACATGCAATTACGTTAGGCAGAAAAAGAAAGGAAAGACAGGGAAAAACAGACTAAGGGAAGGAGCAATGGGAAGGCAGCAGGCAATGCTTTAGTCTACTCGTTGGGTATTGCTCTGGTTAAACTGTTTCGCTAAAACCGTAAGCCTACATTCCTGTTAAAAATTAAGACGATAATTGCATTACTCAAGTCTATAAACATCCTCCTAATACAAAGTGGGTTTGCTACAAGCCAAGTTGTGAATTTCACAGTGCACAGCGCAGAAACATGCATCAGAAATGCAACTCCAACACGGCAACTGACCACACTGGGTGCCTATGCTTCATTATTAGATGCGTGGCCCCAAGTTAGCCCAATTATGCCCATCTGCGCTGGATGAGCAGGTTCCCAACTCGCTTTGTTCTGACCAGAAGTGCACAGTTTCCATATGCACAGAACACCACCAAAAGGGTTAGAGTCAGAAACAACAAACGGCGACTGACAACACGCGTGGGGTGTGCCTCTACCCGTCACACCAGGTTGGGAAGGCAAGAGTGTAACAAGGTTCTGGAGCTAAATCAAGGTGTTCACATACCAAACCAGGAGATAAATCTTGATCTCTTACAAGTGTTAGTCTGTAAATTACCATTCTTCCAGTCACCCAGGTTAATGAATTTTCAAGTAGCACCACCTGACCTTAATTGTGCCCTGTATAAGGCACCACGGGTGTGCTGAGCTTAGCTGTGCTGAGCTTCACTTTTGACACCTGAGACTGCAAAAGGCAACAGGAAAAACAAAAGCGGCATATAACAGACCGAGAGGGAGACCAAGGCACAACAGAACAGATGTCCCTGAATGGCAAGACCTTGGAGAACCTTCAATCTGTCACTTAAAGCACACAGAGTGAGGACGCATTTTGATAACTGTGACATCCCATTTGAAACAGCATGTTCAAAAACTAACCAGCAAAACAAGACATAATGAGACCTTCACTGCCCAACTGTGAAGAGCATGAACAGATGACTAAAGCAGTCTTTGGGCAAACAGCAATCTTTCAAAATACGAAGTTGACAGATTACCTGCATTTTGGGAAAGGTGGGGTTTTTAATCTTAGATATATTTGAAACAGAGAGGAATTTTCATCACATCCACTAAAGACAGTCATTTTCACAGTGAGCAAATAAACCACTCAGGACAGGGAAATTGTGTATCTCAGGAGAGGGAGCCCCTCTTATTTTCACAAAATCAAATAAAATTTCAACAACCAGAAACATATTCAGTGATACTTTGTTTACAGAAGAACCCTGAAACAGATCACTGTCCTTGTTCATCCTTACAACTATGTTATGTCCTTCTGTGTATCTTGAAAAAGTACTTACTGCATATACCAATTCATAGTTGTAACACGCATTTTCATGACTATCTGGAACTCTCAGAAATGCTATGAAAAGAACAGTACCTATTTTTTAAAATAACAACTGTTATTTTCTTAGCTGTTTTTCCTAAGAAAACAAGCTTTTGCAATTGAACTGTTTGCCATCTCTTTTCCTAAGCCAGTTGCATTTGGACTGGTTAGCAAATTTCAGTCAAATATGACAGCGAGAAATCTCAATATATTTTCAACTTCAAGAAGTTCTTGTGGAGTTTACCTGATAAATGAGGGAAGAGCAGGCAGAACTCACCCTTTTTTTTACAGTTAGCCACTGGCCAACCAGTACAGCATCCCAGCTGGCTGGCCAGCCTCAATGTCATCTCCCTGCTGAGCCAAAGCATGCTCTGTTCTGCCCTGCTTGCAGAAGGGGATGAGAGCTGTTGCACAAGGGGGACATGCTGGACAAGTCTCCATTAATTCTGCCACTTGCAGCAACCTGCCTGTATGAACTTCTCAAGCCAGCTTTGTCACCAAAGCACTGTGCAATAACCACCTCTGAAATAACTGCTGGGAGACTAATCGGCCTAAGCCAGCATGAGTCTCAGTATCACTGCAACTGCAACTAGCTTTTCACCTCATTTACACGTTTCTCAACATTGTTATTTCCTCTCTTGCCACACAGTTTAACGTTTTCCACTGCCAGTCTGATTTATTAGTTATTTACTTTTCTTGGGCCAGACCTGTAAAAAAAGCATGTTCTGCAGTTTCACTGAAGGTAAATTTATCACCAATTTACTCACAATTTTTTAACATGGCTTCAAATTGTAATTCTACATGGCTCATTTTCACAAAAAAACCAAAACTTTGGGGAACAACAACATTACGTCTCTCACAGCAGTACCCTTTCCCCTCTGTGGGATACATGCTATACAGACTCAAATGCCCTACCACCCCTGCAGAAAAGATGCACCCTGTATACACAGACAAGCCACCTGCTGATGAACATGCACCAGGTGTTCCACTCATGCAGATGGAACTGGATCACAATTTAGCAAGCTACATTCCTGGACTGAAAACTACATTACTATCAGAATCAGACAATTTCCAAGCCAGCAGGCACTGCAGAGAAGTTATGAATCCCAAAGAATGCAGCCATGTCAGTTTTCACATTGTGCCACATGTCCTTTCTCATTTGAAAATGTGATGATGTGCCCTATTTTTAGTTATTTATCTGATGCACCGATGTCAGGCGTAGTGACCCATGGTTTTACTTTTAAAGAAGCTTGCTTCTCTAGCTTGAACCTGGGGCCTGGGAAAGGTTGGAAATTGACAGGAGTGAAGATACCTTCTCATAGCATCCTGCCAACGTACTTCCACAGCTAACTGCTGCAGTTAATATTGCAGTTAATATGCAGTAAATATACTGACGTCACGGCTGTTCAGGAACCTGGAAATTCCTCTGAGCCTGACAACATACCAGCTTAAGTGGCAATTCTGCTGTATTCCCCAGGAACTACACCAGTCAACTACCACAGAAAACTAACCAAGCCATAACAGACCTGAGCCCCAGGCTTCAATGGGATAAAAACTTTCTAACTCTCTAACAGCAACAGGAGATACCAAATCTGCCTCAACCCACAACTGCTCTCAATTTTAGCACTTCTGCTTTGACCATATCTATGGTTACTGTTTCCATTTCCACCAAGTATAACAGAAAACATTTGAGTAAAAACAACTGGAGTACTTCTGAAACAGATATACCTGCCTTCGGGTCTCAGTTATTCACATCTTTACAATGGAAAGATGTGGCTAATTAACTGCAGAAAGATTTTAATGAAAGAATTTCATTCAACTTGTTAACAGCTGATCTTTTTATTTTGTCTTTATTCAACATTAGTTACTAGGATTCTATGGGAAGGGCTGTATCATGCCTTCAAAGAACAGAGGGCTTCTGTGCACACAAATAAAAGCAAGAATAGTAGGTTCCAGGGCTGAATTCCCTGAAAACGTGATTCCTGAAAAAACAACTATATGGCAGTGCATGTCAGTAACACAGCGTAAAAACAAGAAGAAATCCCACTCGAGACAGAGGTGGAAGAGGTATCACTCTGTCTCGTACATTTTGTTGGGCGCTGGTTCTCAAACTAAAGTCTTCTTGTTACCTTGCTGGATTCCTCCAGTTGAGTGCCTCGTTTCCAGGCCTCGGAGAACATGGAGCTGACAATACTTTGGGAACGGACATGTCCAGCTGGCTGGGTGTCAGACACTCCGCTGTCAGACTGATTAGAATGATTTGATTGCGATTCTGTTTGGAGGAAAGTTAAGAAAGAGTTAGCATATGCTGCTGAATGCAAGAGTAAAGTTGGCGTGCTTGTAATGCCACTCCATGTGACATTTATTGGTTACACTTGTTAAACATGTTAATCCACCAAAGGACATTGTTCCCACTAACTACTGCGTAAGCTCTAGCTCACATCCAGGCTGCTGCTGTCTGGGAAACATAACAGTGTAACAGATCCCTGGTATTAACCAAATCTGAGGCTCCACAAAAAGGACAGCATGTCAGACATGCTGCAGAGTAAAAACACACTGCAGCTTGATAGGTTCTGAAACACCCAACAGCTACTGCACTTTGGGAAAGCCTTGTTTCATGCAATACACGCAGCCTGCTCTCCACAGGACTATGTCCCAGCACAACCTGAGGAACAGACACTGCACATTGGCTGCGGACAGGCAAACTACACCAGCCAAGGCAGCAGTCTGCTTCTGACTGCTCCACTCCTCAGGCGAAGAGAAGGAATGATGTGCATCCTGCAACTAGCAAACACAGATGATGCTCTGGGTGCACAGGGTATCCTGAAAAGAAAGCAGCAGCCACTGCCAGACCTATTTACCCCACCCGGGCACCTGCTTTGGTGCAGTCCCAAGCAGTCCTTGAGAAAAAGAGCATCTAGGCACAGGCTGGACTGCAGCTCTGGCAGAATAGGCATGGCTGGTGGGCTGTGGCTCAGCTTCCCACATGGAGAGAAACTATCAGAAAATCATCCAGCTTGGATGGAGAATGGTCAGTAATCAAGAATTTACTGCTACACCTGGCAAGCTGTGCCACAGTTGCAAAAACATGGCATCTTCCCAGTTGGGCTGAATTTGCTTAGCTCATTCTCACAGGCTCCATCCTGAACCTTTCCAATTCAGCAGCATTACTTCCTGAGCTGTATCTGTGACGGACAAAACACTTTCATACAATAGCCTGTTTTCAATAATGAAACTTCCCCCCAAGGGTTCAGAATAACCTGGCAAAGCATCAGTCCGCTCTGAACAGTGAAATGAGACTACATAAACCATTCATCAATTTTTAAATTGTTGTGTGCTACAAAAAAAAGTCCAAGTCCTGCTGGGAGGTAAACGAGCATAAACTGCAGGCACATGCAGTCTGACACAGGAACAGAAATAATGTTTTCAAAGTCTGTCTCTAAAGAGACTGTTTGAATCTTTGCTTTTGGGCAGGGACTATTTAGCATTGTCCAATTTCAGTTGGAAAAAAAGCAGTTTAAGAGCTATGCATGCAAGTCTATGCATCATTAAAACATGTATTTGATTTCTTTTTTTCAAAGAGGTGAAGATAGAGGCATCAAGAATTTGAAAGGTAGTTTCCTCTTAGTGTCAGAAAAACATTCTTTTTTGGAGGTGAAGAAGAAAATACTCTATGTTCCAAATACATACACCACTGCAAGTAATAACATAAAATAGGGTTTTATATGTTTTTATATATGTGTTAAACATGAAGCCTATGTTTTAGATTAAACATAGCATAAAAGACTTTGGAGAAACAGTGCATTTCCTTCTACGGTGGCAGATGATAAAAAAGGTAATTATATCTTTCTTCTACGAGACAGATCACATTATTACCTGGCAAACTAGATGAGCTGGAGCCTGACTTGATACTGGAGCTAGACAAGGAAGTCCAGTCATATGCCGATTCTGTTCTCTTCAGTGCTTCCTGATAGTTCATGTATAGTTGCTTCCCATACTAAGCAAAATGACAAACAAATTGAACAACTGTATAGGCTATGTATCTTTTTCAGATTGTTGAGCCCCACCTCTGGCTTCCCTATTCCACCCTTTTACCCCCAGAGAGAAACAGGCTTTTTGTGAAGGAACTCAGGCAACATTAACATTTTATTAGTGAATTGCTGAAAGGAAGAAAAACAGTTTACTGATGTTAGAAGAGACAGTGTCAAGCAAGAAATGGGCCAATGAGTAAACTCAGCCAACCCGGGGATCTTAGAAAACAATTCTGTTTTCTCAATTCTCTTTTCCCATAAGCCACCTTTTTAAAATCTGGAAGGGAGCTGGCTAAAATCTAGCCACGATGTCCGTTAGAACTTTGCAATGTGACAGAGGTGCAGCAGAAACAAGAAGAAAGGGCCCAATCACTGAATTATCATAACAACAAAGCCTGACAACTTTGCTAGGGAATGAAATATGTAAGAAGGTTGTACAGTTCATGTTCAGCACAGTTAAACAGAGGGAAGTTATATTTAGCATGTATGTTGCTACCTAACTATATAAATGGTTTCAAACAGATGACAACAACTCATGACAACACAACAAGACTGCCTAGAGGAGGTTACCTTGGCAATGCGGATGCCATTGATCCACTGGTGTAGAGTTCTTACATCATCACAGCAGAGATACTTGATATACTGGGATTTCTTCTGGATCTGTGGATGCTGCAGAAAAATTGTTAATCCCCATCAACATTTTAATAGCTAGGTATGCAAGGAAAGCCACCTATCTGCTGAGGTCTATTCAGACAAAATGCTGGAAGCTCTTCAATAGTAGCCTGTATTTGAGCCCACTTCAAAATGTTTGAGAGCATTTCAGGAGGTGGCAGTGGGGATTGTTTCACACGCAGACTGGCAGTGTGTCCAGCATGGACTCATTTCACATTTGAAACACTAAGAAAGGGTGCATCTTTCAGTATTTTAGGTCATGGAACATGGAAAATATTTCCAGTTTCAGCTGTATGCTTTCTCCCTTACTATCATGTCCCGTATTTGATATTCAGTGTCTCCTCTCAGTGGGTCCAAATGCATGCTGCCCAGTCTACATGAACATGAAATCCGTTTTTCACACAGTGGACAGGCAGCCACAGACTCCAGGCATATAAAACATTCTCATGGATGGACATATGCAACACCACATGAGCTACAGATCAGGGAAGGTAAGAGGTGAAAGGAAAACTGTAAGAGCAACTACAACCACCTCTTGTCATTTGCACTGTTTCCAAATCCATGAAGACACTCTACTTGCTGTGAACATACTGTGAAATCCTGTTTTAAAATAGCTTTGTAGCTAGCTATCTTACAGGAACTGATACCATTTTGAACACTGTGTGGGAGTCAAGAGAGACTGAAAGATGATGCAATTTAAAATAACTTGAAATACTCAAGCTATTAATCTAACAGTTTAAGATCAGGTCACTGCTTTCATAACATTTTTTTCTACTTGTTCTTTCCACCTGTCCTTTATACTCAGAAGTTTCTTCCTTTACAGCATCCCCTTTCTCTCAAGTTGGAGAATATGGGCAGACTTGCCTAATAACAACTTCTGTGCAACTCTGGACCTACACTCTGAGATGACAGCAAGTATACAATACAAAATATTCTGTGGAAGTATCTCTGCAAGATGGTCCTGTGCTTCTAATTTTTTCCCTAGCAGTTTATAAAGAAAGGCCACTGTCAGAGAAACCTAGAGTGAATCCAGTAAAGCCATCCACATGTATCTTCTGGAAGGTGGAAGAAATTTGTCAGTTTGATGGGGAAGAAAATGATTCATCACCATTTCTTCCCTCAGCACTAGTCCCTTCATGGCATTTTCTCATTTTTTTACTGTATTTCTGTCAAGGAGGCTCATTACAACTCTACAGAAAATGTAGTTAAACATAGCTTTCTCACTGTCACTGTAAGTTACGGCAATTCAGATTTCTCATATGCAGAACCAAAATAATTTAGAGAGAAGCATATTCTAAATTATCATCTTTCCCAAGATTAATATTGTGTTCATCAACTCTTGCTCACAACTAGGAAGTGTATGTATTATAAGGGACTTAGATTACTCTGGAAATATTTTACACTCTTTAATTGCTCTTTTAAGTAGGAAAATTTTCAAAATAATTAACAAGTTACCTTTAGCACTAAACAATAGTCTGTGGGTGCTTTGTATTTGTTCCGATAGTCCTGTCCGTAGTAAACATTGACATGATCTAGCTGCAGAAAGCACACGAGATCCCGCGAGACCTATTAAATACAAAACCAAACATTTACAAAATATCTTTATAAGAAAACCACACTGACCAACAAAATCAGTCTAGTGTTAAGATCCAACACTAATACAAGGTCAAGGTAAGGTCAAGTATTAGTTTCGATCTGAATGGAAAACTACCAATACAAGAAGGAGATAGAGCCATGCATGGTCATGCATCAGACTTCCATTTTTAACCAGGATATCCTTTTCCAAATTCAGTCTGCAGTTTGCCTTTTGGTAACATTTTACACCAGACTACTAACATTTATTCAGAGTTGGTAAACAGGATTGGTTGACTGGAAACTTTTTAAGAGCTGTTGGTTACGTTTCCTCTTGGCAATAATCAAGGTGTGCAAATTCCAGTGTGAACGTGACTAAAACTCTAATTTAGTTTAGCAGTCATTGTAGGGCACAGAATTTCAGCCCGCTATCTTGCATATAGACTGTGTTAACAAAGCAAAAGGCTGTGGAAAGAACATCTGGGATGTATTCAGCTCCAAAGGAAGCCGATGTGCTGACAAGAGATTTCCTCTTCATTGCCAGCTGTGTGGGAAGTGCTCTTCTGTATTGGGGACCAGCTGATGCTGTCAAGACTGATGGATTAATGGACAACTTGAACTCACAATAGTTCAGCCTTGCAATTATAATGCATTTGTAGCAGTTCTCTATTTACTTTTCACTGCTGATACACACAGAAGTGACACTAAAGAAACGGTATGGTATTTACCAGTTTCAAAAAACGTAGCACAGATTGGTCCAAAAAGAATACCACTTATATGAACTAAAATCAATTAAATGAGCAGACTGATGTGGAGTTGGACTGACATTTCATGATTGGCATTTACAGTGCAATTTGGTCCTTCTTATGAATTCTGCTTGAGAAAAGACAGCCTCTTAACTCCACCAATAATTTTTCCTCAAATGTTTCTGAACACCTAAGGGTGAGCTCACTCAAAAAGTCTTCTTGCCTTCTTGTAGTTTCAAATTTGGGGTTACACTTTCCACTAATGCTACCACGCTAATTTAAACAATATTTCCATTATAAAGCTGCCCTTTTAATTAAGTGATGTGGTACCAGGGAAGCGTGCTGGTGTGGCTAGGACAGAGTTCATTTTCTTCATAGTAGCTGGCATGGGGCTGTTTTGGATTTGTGCTGGAAACAGTGTTTGTTCATAACACAGGGATGTTTTCATCACTGCTGAGCAGTGCTCACACACAGTCAAGGCCTTTTCAGCTGCTCACAGCACCCCACCAGTGAACAGGCTGGAGGGCACAAGAAGCTGGGAGGGGACACAGCTGGGACAGCTGACCAAAGGGATATCCCAGACCACATGACATCATGCTCAGCAGATAAAGCTGGGGGAAGAAGGAGGAAGGGGGGAACATTCGGAGTGACAGCGTTTGTCTTCCTGAGTAATGGTTATGTGTGACGGAGCCCAGATTTCCTGGAGATGGCTGAACACCTGCCTGCTGATGGGCAGTAGTGAATTAATCCCTTGTTTTGCTTTGCTCGTGCAGCAGCTTTGCTTTACCTATTGAACTGTCTTTATCTCAACTACGAGTTTTCTCACTTTCACTCTTCTGATTCTCTCCCCCATCCCACAGTGAGGGAGTGACCGAGCAGCTGTGTGGCACTCAGTTGCAGTCTGGGTTTAAACCAGGACAGCAAGGCACAGCTAAGCCAAAATTTAAGGCTGACTCTTGTGCACATGATTTACCATCAACAAACGATTCAAGGAAATTGCTTTAAAGTAGCATACCTTTGCCTTCCCTTTAGGGACATAGTAGATTCCCGAAGCTCGAAGAAGAAAGTAACGTTTCTTCCAAGACTTCTTACCATCCTCTTTCAGCCACAAAACTCCCTCAATCTCTGGCACAGTTACAGAACTTCCACAGAAACATTCCTGCCGATAAACACAGTAGATTGGGAAGGGAGAAACAGAGAGAACATTCAGCATGCATTGGTTTGTTTTTAATGACTGCAATTCTTAAATTCTTTATCTAAGGAATGCACACATAAGAGGGACAGCTCTTTTTTTCATGCAGTGATATGAATTAGCAATTAACTGTAGAAGCTGTAAGGTAATTCAGACAAACACAAGAGGATCTTGGCATCTTCTCAGTGCAACAATAACAAAAAATATTAGCAGCTACTGCAAAGATTTTCTGACCACTGCTTATCAGTAATAGATCCTCCAACAGCTTTACTGGCTTTAAAGTCTCAAGGTCACCTTATAGATATAGTCTGTTAATTCTAAGTACATGCCAAACCTAATTACATATCCATCAGATACAAATATAATTCACTCCATGAGTACTTTGTTGCTACTGACTGTCCACACTAGAACTTCTGTTAAGGTTCTATTTAAAAAGAGCTAACAGAGGAAAACAAGCACTTTAAATACACTCCAGATTATTATGCAGCTCAGAGATTTATGAGTAGTCCTAGAAAACAGAATTAGATAGAATTACAACTCTCTGTATGTCATGGCTTCAAGCACCTTTTTGATCTACAGTATTCAAATGACCACTTATTAAAATCGATATTAACAATATACTAAGAGCATGCACATGTTACTTATAAATTATATTGTATTAAGTATAATCCAAAATTAAATACACAAAAAATTTACTTCTGTGTACCTACTGAAATCATAATCATTATTCTGGAAATCAAGTGGAAGGTATGACACTTCTGCATGGGTATGCCTCTACAAAACTGTCACAAAAACATTCCATTTCTAGCTTATGGAGGCTATGTTTACGGTTTGCTTTATTTGCTCCACACATTTTTTTGTTGTCCTTTGTTCCGTAAACTATTTAATGCTTTCAATATTAACTGACTTTCTTTTTTTCCACTAATTTTTTTAATGTAATATTTGGTTGTTCATTTTAGATTGTAATTGAAAGAATTTTAACTACTTTGCTTACTAAAAAAAATTAAAACAGTAACGCAGACCAGACACTAAACCAGTGCTATAGAATTTTGTTCAGATTAACGATTTGGAGAGTACTAGTAAAAAATTCTCTACTACCACAGGTCAAAAATACAGGTGACAGTTCTGCAAATTTCAACTGGTTTTAGCCACAGTTACAGGTAACCTCATTTTGATTAACACTGTGTATCGTATATCAGTTATTAAACAAAATAAAGACACATTTTTATTAACTGATAATATCTGAAACAGGGTAACATTAAAATAGCCATTTATCTCAAATGTAACACATTCCATTCACAGTTGTTCACAGAACTAAGAGAATTCAGCTCTATCCATCAATTTCAATAACCCCAACCTTTTGGAGTTTAGCTTCAAGCTCCGAAATCACCACTAGACTCTTCTTGTGTCAGCAGTCTTACCTCTAGCAGCACCTCTTTATTTCTGTCTGCCATCTCAGAGGTTTCTTTCTTCCCCAGAAGATAGTTCTGTAACAAGAAAAAGCTTAATGTTTCTGTAGGCATTCTGAAATCAAGCCAAGTAACGTTCCTCATTTACCTTTTTGTAGCATTAAGAAAAAAACCCACAGCTATTATCTAGGAACAATACGCTAATTTAACAAAACTTTGTAGTCCAATTGAAACGGTCAGACTGCTAAATAATACATGGAACTAAGTTATATCCACCTTTTCCAGAAGTGTCAATCAGTCCCATAGTCTTATCTTAAGTAATAGCCTCACAACAATGTTGTCCTGGCAGTCCACAAAGCTCCACAAAAGGAGAAATACTGGTTTTATTCTGGTACCTCACTCTTGTTGACAGTGCTTACTGTATGTACTGAGAGTAAACATATCAACTACATGTTTTTAAAAAGAATTTAGTTTTGCTGCTTCATTGCAAAGCCCCTGAATATGACCTGGTTTTGAATTCTTGCTTAAAAAAAAAAAAAAATCAAGTACATTTGACGGTGTCCAAAAGGATGAGCGTGCAAAACGGACACTCAGTTTAAATCCAAGAAATTAACACAGAGATGTCATACAGATATAAAAATCATTTATGACCCCAAAAGGGAATACATTAGGTAAGAGTGAAGAGAGAGATCAAGTGATATTACATCCAGCTTGTTTCCATTCAGATTCTTCAAAGAGCCACCTTCTGCTTTTCTGTCTCTTTTCCTCCACTCCCCCCATCAATACGCTGCTGGATATCAAACCTGTAGCTAACATTTGAGAAGAGAGAGCCCCTTAAGGCCACGTGAGAAATAAGCGGGGCCTTCGGTTTCCTAGCCAGGGAACAGGAAACACCAGGTGAACAGAGGCACGTCCCAGCTTCTACAGGGAGGGACACATGCTCTCTTCTCCTCACTTGCCATCTGACCACGGAGCAGCTATTGTCTTTTCTCTCTCTTCCCCTTCCTGCCAGCAATATAAGAATGCGCAGCGGAGAGACATTACTATTACGAGTCTCTGTCAACGTCTCTCTTGCATATTTACATAACTGAACAGCACTAAGTATTGGTGTGGTGTAAATGCCATGAAACTGCTAGCCTTCCTCTCCATTAAAATCAGCCACAAACACTTACTGCTTCTGCTCACTGTTTTCTGCTGGGACTTGGTTTTGTGCCAACTACCATGTGGATGCACATGGGGCCGAAATGTAAAGTTGCCTGGCATTTTAACACCTATGCAAGTATCAAAATAAAAGTATGGAAATTAATGCTATCAAAAAAAGTCACTGCAACCAGGCATGCATGCGTGCATGAATCTCAACATGAGACTCAGGCTTACCTGGGGATTCTTGAAAAGTGCATATTTTTCTATACGTTCCACAAACATTAGTTTGTTTTGACTATCTCTTGTCCAGTTCAAAAGATTTTCAACGAGATTTTCATGATCTTCAAAGATTCTTTCTGCAGCAGTAACAAGAGAGCAAATAATTTGAATCTGTCACATTCTGTGGCAGAAACTACTCTGTAGTCATATCTGGGAGACAAGGCATATATGTAGAGAAAACAAGAGTTCAAGGTCTACTAAAATGCAGAACAAGTTTAGACTAAGAAACTAAAAGACCTTAGTCAACTTTCACATATGCTTGGTTTAATTTTACACATACACTCACTCAATAACATCTCCATCTTTTCAGGGTTATAGTTCCATTATAGTTCGATCAATATATGAAGTGTTTGGGTTTTTTTTTCACCTGACAAAGTCTACCATCCCCCATGAACACAGCAGGCTCAAATGACATTTCAAATTTTATGAGCACAAATAAGGAGGTTATCACATTTATATGTATTCTGGACTTTTTCAGCACGAAGTTTGTTCCTACATTCCCAGTCACTATCTCACTCATAAAGTATCAAAAATAGGCAATGATGAGAGGCAAAACAAATCCTTCTGAAATGCTGAATACCCATGGTTAGCGAGGGTATGGTAGAAGAACTCCAAAAACTTGACACTGTTTATTTCTTACCATCCATCCTGCTAAATAAATGGTGTGTCAACAATGGTTTCTGAGAACTCTGAGCTTTGATCCTCTGCTGACAACACTAGTACTAGATACTGAAAATAGGCAAAATAGAAGAGAGGAAGAAAATTTACTGATATGGTAGAGAAGGATCTGAAACCCCTAATTCTAAAATAAGTAAGACGGCATCTTTGGGAAACAACGAGACCAACTTTCTCATCCTTCCAAAGTCCCTGAAGAAGACTCTTGCTTTTTGCAATCTATTCCCCCTTCACACAGCCTACATGGCATTTCAGCAAATTATTGCTTTCAGAATCCTTCAGGACTTGCTTGACCTTTCAAAAAAATGTAGACAGCTTTTTGTAGTAAGAGCCATTAGGATCAATACAAAGTACTATTTACAAAGAGGAAGACGCACGCTAAGTTTTTTATCCTTTACCTCTTTCTTCTGTGAGGAACACATCATAACCGAGAGACTCAGTGATTAGGCATTAGTAAAATTCCTACACCACACCTTAAAATTTAGACATGTTTTTAATATGAAAGAAGAAAACATGTCATTCATGAACTTTATTACATGAATGAACATTTACTACATGAATGAACAGGATGATGAAACATTATGAAGTCAAGAATTTAAATATTTCTGAGGACAAAGTATTACATCAGTAGCTAAGAATTATAAATGTTTATAACTATTACTTACCCATTTGTAATTCAGAGATAGTTTCCACCAATGACCAGTCCAAACTGTAACCGCAATGTGATTTGTCCATCAGATTGTCTAATACTTGTCTCACTGTCTGCCTCTCATCCACCATCATTGTTTTTGAGCTGTCATCAGACATATGGACTCTGATCACCAACTATTAAGCAGAAAATTAGGAAAACAAGAAGATGGATTAATTTCCTATGTTTCAAATAAAACTAGTTTTTCTAAGATCTTGTTTTTCTAAGATTGTTAAAATAGCATAAAATATTAAGTCCAACCAAAACACTCCCTCAAAATATAAAAAAACATGGTTAGATATTTGCTTCACAGACACTTAACAAGATACTGTTCTCCTTCAGTATAAGAAAGTAAATATAAAGGTCTTCCCACCACAATGACAATGTGCTTTAGTTGTGTGTCGAGGAAAAAAATCCCTCCTGTCCTGTTCTGATTAATAAACTGTCTTTGTGACAATTTTTCTCATGTCTCTAGGTGGAACAAACATAGCTCTAGAGTTCTGCACAACTTTATATAGCATCAGAATTTTTCAGATTTGCAATCCAAGCTTTCTGCCTGCTTTCTCCATATTTTCTAAAAATGCTGATTCTGTAAACGCTATACCTATATTAAATCTTCTTTTTCTGGGCAGCATGAAGCGTTAGTGCAAAAGAAATCTGCTTTTAATACATAATGGCTTTTCACAGACATTTTACAGACGTCACTGTCCCAAAAGAAAAATGCAGCTCTTTTTTTAAGCAATCAAAAACCTTAAGACAATAGTTTCTTCTTGCCAATCATTATGTTGTTTGCTTCCTTGTTCAGCTGGAAAAGTTAAAACCTAGTGACTGTAATACTGGTTGGCTTGTTACTTCCCATCTTCCTGCCAGGACAGTTTTTCAGCTTTTGATTTATAAACACTAAATGTAAAAGGCATTTTAAGCTACTGAAAAAATTCCAAACTTAAAAAAAAAAAAAAAAGCAGCAGCTAAATTTCAAGGGAACACTGTATTCTTTGACGGTGCATCAAGTAAAGCCAGCAGACTTTCTTCACTTAATAACCCCTGTCTATAGTCTGGAATGCTTGTATTCCATTTAGCACCGGAAAATCCTGCTATGCATAATGGGAAGTGGTCTGTCAAGAAAACAGACCCAAATTTTAAATGTGAGACTACTTAATATACAGGAAGCCAGATTCTCATTTCAGCTCTGGCTGGAAGCTGGCAAAGTCTTCTTCATGCGCACTTGCTGCAAAATAAGCTATTCCTTAAGAAAAACATGTTATTCCATACACTAGAATTTCCTTGATTAGGTCCAGTCTAGATGAGAAAGTACATTAACACTCAAGATCAGAACACCACATTCTTCCTATTTTATTTTGGGCAACTTAAGGGTAACAGACACAACTGCAGAATTTTGTCTACATTTTCCAAGCAAATAAGTATAATATAAAGATCTTATAAACCAGTATAAATGATTTACCTTTTTCACTTGTGCCTCTTTAATCTTCTCTAATGCAACCCTGATCTTCTCAGCTTTGAGTTTAGCTGCCTGTTCCTCCTAGGGGGACACAACACACAGAACTCCAGTTAACACAAATTTCAGCTCAATTTTAGTGTACTTAATTTTGAAGCTACCATGCTTTAAAACATGAACTGAAATGCTGATTCACCCACCTATAAATCCTCAACTATTTCTTAGGGATGATGAAGACTATTATTTTGTAAGAGAGTTACTATAAATATATATTTACATTTATTTACTTATATGTTTATATGTTTTAATATATGAGTAAAACATCTACAAATACAACTGCTAGTACCTCCAGAATAAAATACTGGAGGTATATTGTTTTTATAGACACCTTTGGCATTTCTCTGTTCTTCCATATCCTAAGTAGTCTTGTGCATTGCTACCAAATATTTTTAGCATATCACATATTTACAGTCATAGTTTTGGACAACACATATTCAACAAGAGTGTACAACTGAGTAAACCTGAGAGACTTCTGGTTGATTAACATAAAACATAAATAGCACACTGCGAAATATCAGAATTTAACTGCACACAAAGCATGGAAAACAAATCCTACAAATAGGATTCCACACTATGTGGACCGTTTTGGAAGATTTTAAACTATTAAATCCATTTGCAATAAGTAAGTAGCTTGAATACATCCTTTATCATTACTAAATCCATGCTGTATTTGTCCTTTCTTTAAGTATTTTAAGACACATAAGCAAACAAGCATTCTCTTTGATGCTCTTATAAGCAATCTACTTTTCTTACAACCGGAAATACATTAATATTCAGATAATACAAATGTATTCTATCTGCTGATGCTAAAGAAACCTGTATATTGTAAGACTGGCAACACCGGTTTTTTTAATTGCTAGAGATTATTGATATTTCTGTTGACAGTGGATTTGAAATGCACAGCTGAACAAGCAATCACTCTTTTTCAGACACCATATGCAGGTTTCTGATTTTAGAAATCTTAAATTGTGGATGCTCATTATGGCTAATACCTAAAAGCATTATAATTATTTCAAAATCTCTAGAACAATAAATAAATGTATTAAACAAACAAATCCCAAAATATTCAATCTCTATAGAAAAGAAAAATTAAGATTTTTCTCAGATCGAAAGTAGCTCAGCCCACCACAACACCACTCAGCATGCCACAAACATTTAGTTCCGCATTGCTTTCTTGTATGAATGTAATTCCTAGTTTCGTTACCACGTGTTCAGATGGTTGCTTTTCTTGTAAAAGATTCAGCTATCCTGAAATCTATAGTTTCAGTTCTCTACTTCTCAGTAAATTGCTAATATTCCTGTCTATTCCCTGTGCTTCTTACTGTACTCTAACTTAACAGCTTTTGCTTCCTCCCACTTGTGACCATACTACACACCAGAAAACACAACAGCTAGACAGGACAATAGGCTGCCTTGTGAGAAACGTAATTCTTTTCAATAAAATGAACCAGTAAGTTGACACGAGCAGAAATAATGTGAGCTTGAAACATTATCTGGGAACTCAATTACCTAGGAACATAGGTTTTTATTAGTCTACAGGGAGCTGTGGCTTTTTATTCACCATAAAGATGGTGTCATATAGCTTAGGAAGGTTAAATCAGATTAGCATTGTTAAAAACAGTGCCATGATATCTAGAATTATTTCAATGTTTAAAACACACCTAGAATTCTAAAATATCATTCTTTAACATTAAGCATATCCACTGCAGAAATAGATTATTACTAAAAAAAAAAGGTTTAAAATACTCTTAAGTTTCTAAAATTTATGTTATATAATCAGCAAAAGACTATTTTATCACACATTTGGAGAAACTGTGATTTATGGTTTAAAGAAGCTGCTCATCAACGCAACCATAAACCTTTATTGCTATACAAAGGTTGACACCACATTTGGTTTTGTTCTTCTCCAAAATGAAGTAGCACAATCTTCCACCCCATTTCACTGTCCACCTGTGCGATGCAACCATCTATAGCAGACCTCAGCAGGAGCACCGCACAGCCCCAGTGCACAGGCAGCCACAAGGGATCGGCTGGGGAGCTCTCACATACCTGTGCCAACATAGCTCAAATACATTTTTTGATCTCAAAGTTTATAATCCATCATTCCCTTAAATGCTTTAAAAAAGACATAAACATGCAGACCGCAAAAGATTCTGAGGATTTACTATTTCACCACCTACCAATTACTTTTCATTTTCCAGCCAATTTTAGTGTGGGTCCAGTAATCAGGATTTCTTATACTTTGCTAGAGTTTAACAGGGTCAGTTTAAATTCAGACAAAATCCCAGAATTGTGATTATAGAACTGGTTTCAACCAGCAACAAATTATAAAAAGAGGTCTGAATCTACTTACTGGAAAAGCACAGAGAAAAAAGGAAGCAAGAACTGGAAATTTCTGAAAGCACGCAGCAGTCAAGGATTTGAAGTTATTCAAGTTTTCCTTTATAGTTACTGCTTAGGCCACTGTTGCATCACTGCTGATGTGACAAGCAATGTTTCACTGGAGCAGGAGGAGAAACTACCTATTTTGCTTGCTTAATAAAATAATTCAATAACTACAGAATTCTTCAAACTCACAACAATTAATTCTATTTCTCTCCAAATGGCCCAAGAAAACAGCCATCCGCATCCCCTCCCTATCAAAGCCACACCAAAACTGCACTGAGACACACAGGCGCTCTCTCCTCCCCCATACATAGTACCAAGACAACTCTTCAGTGGGAGGAAGCATGCGAACCCATCAGCTTGTACTAAGCTAATAACATTTTTATTGCACGTGGAGAAAGGGAACAGATGGCAAAAATACCTGACTGCAACTAACAAGGCCAGGACATCACATTTAACTTAGGTGCTATTTCCTCTTTGCTAGTAAATCCTAGCTACCACCTTTTACCTTTTCTAGCAATAGTGATGCAAGTTAAGTTGGCAAAGGGCCATAAACATGAACATAAATGTCAGGACTGCTGCCTAGGTCATGGTTTCACAGGTGGCATATCCCAGTGCAAAATCCCTGATCTGGCTGACAGACCTGCCTCACTCCTTGATAAGACTGGCTTTATAGTCACATACATGTTATGGAAAAGCATAAAGCAGCTACATATATACCCACTGTGTAAAAGCACTGAACATAAACGAGTGTCATTTCCACCTCCTGACAGGAAAAGGATGTTCTCATTTAGTAGCAGTACCCGACTGTAAAATCTCAACATAAAATCCTCGCTTTAACAGGACGACTGCAGGAGTATTGCTACACTTGCATTTTAAAGCTCCCATCCCAGATTATTTTTGGTTCTGGAAAACTTCACAGATGATTTAAAGAATGCTTGGCAAGATACTTAGTTAAGAACTTGTTCATTCAAAATATCCTGAACTAAAATTGAATGAGTACTTTACACTGAGTAAAGCTAGTAATTAAATGATAAGAGGTATCAAATCCATGTTTCACTTGTTCGCAAGGCAGATACACAGATCACAAGATGCATAAAAGAAATTTCTTTCATGTTTAATTATTTGAAATTTTTCTCTAAAGTCTTTTTTTGAATGCAGATGGTTCCTGTTGCCTGAGAACACTGCATTAACATCTCAGTTTGTACCTAATTCCCAAAAACGTCAATACTCTTTATTAGCACCATGTTTAGCGAGTATCAATCAGAACACTAAGCACATTGATGAAGTGTTTTCTGTTGGTTGTTTTGTTTATTATTATTAAAAAAAAAAAAAGGAGCACTGGAACACGTGTGTATGTGATCAGCACTGCAAGGGGAAAGCCAAATGAGTGAGTAACAACAGCATGTATTTCTCAATAAACTCACTGGAACAGGCAGAACACCCTACCCTAAAAAACAACATGTGGCAGTGTTGGAATGGTCCATTTATAAATGGTGAACTTGTGTTTACAGTAGGATTTCATGGCCATTCTCAAAACATGTTTTATTGCATGTCTTCTCAAACTAACCCAGAATAACCTGTATCTGAGTAAAGCAGAAAGGAAAACAAGATGTTACTCTCTACCAAAGCTCACTAGATGTGAGTGTACAGCAGCCATTTTCCTAACGAGAGGTCCATCCGCCCTTATGTAGACCTATCGCACATTCCTTCCTTCCTCCCAACTTTTGTTTTCTGTTCCACTGGCACATTCCTGACTTATTGTCACCATATTGTGTTATGTTAATAACTAGAGAAATGCATGTGAAGCAGTAGTACTGTTCTGGGGGCTGTGTCTGAGAATTACTGACCTGAAAATTTTTTAAATATTACAATGACACTACACTGGTGCAGCGCCATATTTTTCTTGTGTTTCAGTTCTGTGCACCGTTCTCAAACTTTTTGCTATGAGAAGCCTAACTCCAACTCAGAAGAAAGCAACCGCCACATTTTAAATGCCTCTCAAAGTCATACTAGTCCTTATCACAGGTTCCTACAGAAAGGACCTTTTCCCCCTCCCCTTCTATTAGGGCAAAGAATGAAGGCCAAAAGACAGATGGCAGTTGCTTATGAATTTAAACACATAATGTCATCTAAGAAACTCTCTGGAGCTTCCCTTGTGCTTGACCAAAATCACCCAGCTTTTCACATGCTCCCCAGTGATCTTGGGCCACGCTACAACACACACTATTTGGAAAAGTGTTAATGCTATAAGTGTGATGCGAAGAAATTTTCACAGACAAACCTGGCAGTGCTACTTCTTATTAAAGAGAACCACTGCACAACTTTAACAAGATCAGAATTTTATTTACTTGTAATACCATTAAACAAACTGGTTGGGAAGAAAACTGCAACACTAGTGTCTTATCTCAAACTGGTTTTGCATCCTCTCCTCTCCAACCTCAGCTACCTCAAAGGACGAGGAAAAGCCAAAGTTTGTCCATATAAAAACCCAGAAATTGTGGATGTCCCTATCACTGGGAAACCTGTTTTTCCCAACATTCACAGAATAGCTGAGGTCATCTTTGAGACCCCACCTGCAGTACTGTGTCAGCTGTGGAACCCTCAGCATCAGAAGGATATATACCAGTTTGACAGAG